TCAACGCTTGGTCAAAGAAGCATGCTGTATATAATGGTAATAGGACCGAGTGGAGTCCAATTCAGTCTGTAATCATACCAGTGATTAACAAAATTGGACGACCGCGAAGACAGAATTCCTCCCTACTATATGAATACAACATCAGGCAACAAGTGATGAGAATACAGAAAGATATCAATTAGGGAATTATTAGACGATCCAATACCAAATTCTCTGAACTAACATCACAATCATTGCATGGCAAATTGTAAGGAGAATTGCTTAAAGTGATCTTAGGAATGAAATGTTGACACAAATTTTGCCACCACGATGCTTCTCAATACTGAAATTGTAATATTCATCAAAGAAAACAGAACGTTGTGTAGTTAATAGGCTTATTCAGTTTAATTGTATGTTTTGTTTGCCCATTTCAGGTCTTAAAATTTATACGTGAAGTTTTATATTTCATTAACATAAGGCTTATTTTGCTCCTCTTAGCTAAAAGATACAGATAACCTGCGCCAGAAATTACTCGCTTCTTTCAGACAACCATTTCAGCCACTCATTTCTATTCACTCGAAGAATATCAGACGACGTTGTTCATTAAATTTACAAGTATTGTAACCTGCAAAACAAAATGATCAAAATCCTTCTAGTTGTATTGTCATGGGAATTGTGACTTTTCTGCGCATAGTAAATTGCAAAACCTGACTTAAAACAAAAAACAAACAAAAAAACACTCAACGTCATCCCTAGCATCTTCTGTTGATTAAAAATGGTGTGAATGGAACGTACGCGTGGCTAACGTTCTGCAGTGGCTCACTAAAGATATTATTTACAGCACCAAGCTCTTTTTTTTCTCCTCTTTTATTTTTGTGCCCTTATCATCGCCTCCAAGCACAGAGGACATTCTAGACCTCTCACAGAATTTTTCGCAAAGTCCAGGATTTTTTGTTAGTTGTAGTACTGATTAGCAGGATCAAGGAAAACCGAAAATATACTTATTACCATTTACAAATTACAATTTAATAACAATACGCCACGATTTAAAGGTGAGACAAATGAACGCTTTTTCAAGCCCCTATCCAATTTGCAATGTTTCGTTGGACACATCAGATATCGGGGTAAAGCCAGGCTTTTCGCTGTATTTAATTCAACCGTTTAACAACCAGCCATTTCTAACATAGAAAATGACATCAGACAATTCTAGAAAACCAGACACTTTTACCATCGACGATGAAACCTTCACTATGACTTCTGCAGTTATGCGTTGCGCCTTAAAGTAATAAGTAGAAATTTGAGTGTCAGTTATCTTCTCTATCTAATTTTATGTCAGGAAAGTATGCCTGAAAAACAGATTTTTACCTGAAAATACTTAAAAGCGATACATTGATCACGTGATAAATTTCCCTAATCCTAATTATTTGCACGCTTTCTAATTTTTGGTAATTTTGAAAACAGTGGTATTGTGGAAAACTTATGAAAGGAGTCTAATTACAAAGTCTTACAACGTCCATAATTTTATTGGGGACAAATGATGCATATAGAGAAAAGTAAAATACAAGGAATAAATGTAGATGTTTCGATACAAGGACATGGAAAAAAGTAGCAGAAATGTTTTGTTCTATCGCGTGAAAAACAACACCGTACTAACACTTTGATGCATGATTAAACTAATGAAACATGTTAATAAGAACTAATTGTTAGTAAGAACAATTGAGCCAATTTGACATTTCCTTAACAAAAACTACTCTGAACAATTCCTGGGGAATAATATTGGCTCATTAATAATAACTATAAGTGAGACAGCTGTGAAGGGTTTCCTTTTAAAGTTTATCTTGTTCTACGGGACGCTTCACACACGGTTGAGTCCTGGAGAAATACAAGATGGGTACTGCGTGGTTTCTGCCGTTGTTGCAGTTCTTTCTTTCAGTTGGTAAGTAAGACACATCCACGTTTGTTTGAGCTCTATTTTGTCGATAATTTTATCTTTAATGCTGCTTTTCTTGAGAGAACTCTTCGTCAGGGGAAAG